GGTCTTCCTCGGTGGTCATTATTTTTGTTCTCTTTATGTTCAACATTAAGCCTGCCTTTGCACTTTCTTCTTGGATCTTCCTTAGCAGAAGTTCCAGGTCTGTGAGGTTTTCTGCTAGTACTATGGTGTCATCTGTATATCTTAGATCAGGGGTAGGCAACCTTTTTGAGCCGGGGGCCGGGTTGCTGTCCCTCAGACAACTGGGGGGGCCGAAGCACAAAAAATTAATTAATTAATTAATTAAAATTAAAATTGAAATTAAAAATTAAAAATAAATTAAAAATAAAAACATATGCATGCACACTCTCTCAGCCCCAGAAAAGCCATGGCACAACCCCTATGGAGATTTTGCCAAGAAAACCCCAAGAACAAGTAATAACAACAATAATCAATATCATCATGGCGGAGGGCAGCGGTGATGGGAGGGCGGTGGCAGCGGCGGCAGGACCAGCCTAGGGCCGGCCCAAAGGCCTCGGGGGGGCGCATCCGTCCCCCGGGCCTTAGGTTGCCTACTCCTGTCTTAAATTGTTGATATTCCTTCCTCCTATTTTCACTCCCCCTTCTTCTGTGTCCAAGCCTGCTTTTCTTATAATATGTTCTGCATATAATTTGAATAGATCAGGTGAAAGGATACAGCCTTGTCTGACTCCTTTGTCAATTGGGAACCATTCTGTTTCTCCATCTTCTGTTCTTTCAGTAGCCTCTTGTCCTGAGTTCAAATTCCTCATCAGGACGATCAGATGTGTTGGCACTCCCATCATGTCTTTAAGGGACATTTCTTAGGGGTAGGCAAACTGTCCCCTTTAAGGGCCAAGGGACTTCAGCTCCCAGAATGCCAGACTATTGGCCAACATGGCTGAGGCTGAGTTTGCATACCCCTGCAGCCTTTGCTATAGTCTATAAAGCACATGCTAATTTTAATAATTCCCTGCTACGCTCCATTAGCCATCGTATGCTTGCAATGTGATCCCCGGTGCCTCTTCCTTTGCTAAACCCTGCTTGGACCTCTGGGATTTCTCTTTCCATTTGTGGTTGGAGTCTATGTTGCAGCTGAGCATGATTTTGCTTGCGTGGGAGATTAGTGCTATGGTCCTATAGTTGCTGCAGTCTCTTGTGTCTCTCTTTTTGTGGATGGGGATGTATATTGATCGCTTCCAATCTGTTGGCCATCGTTTTGTTTTCCATGTCTGTTGACACATGTTGGTTAGCACTAGAGTTGATTCTGTCAATGTGGGTTGCAACAGTTCAATTGGAATATCATCTGCTCCTGGAGACATGTTTTTTGTTAATCTCTACCTAATCTAAACGTCAACCTGGCTATTAAGAGAAGTGCATATTTCCTGTGATTTTCTGTTTTATTTGCTGGAATCAAATTACCTCAGAAGCCATCAGACTTGAAAAATCAAGCCTTTGTTTACCTTCTCATGCCCAATTGCAAAACAAAGCACACTAAAAGCAAGATACAGCAGTGAAGACAATACCCTGCTATGAGAAACAGACATGTTTCACCACTGGAGGGAGGACTTCTTCTAAAAACATGCTAAACCTAATTAAAGAAGTCTGTTCATTTCTTGTGCATTGTCCTCCTCTTCCCTCTCACTTTCTGCCGTATTTTCTTGCAGCCCGAGAGCAGCTTCGCCGTTCCAGGCACAGCAGGACCTTCTTGGTAGAGTCCGGGGTGGGCGAGCTTTGGTCCGAAATGCAAACAGGTAGGAAGTGATGGGAAAATGCAAAGTGGAGTTTATGACAGGCCTCCAGGAGAAGCATGTTGTTCTTCCTGACAATCTAAACATGAAGGGACCATTGATGGGACCCTGGTTTCCATCAAATAAGAAAGCTCCAGATGGGCCTTGTGGTGTCTTCAAAGGTAGCAAAGGACTGGAAGGAGACCCTATTTATTTTCCCCTGTTTTCTGATGTTGCCTCACTCTTTAGCAAAATGCCAAGAAAGGCCAACATTGATGCTCAAGGTACCCATCGGTACATCCACCAAAGCACCACCAGTAACAGAAGGAACACAACCAGGATGTAAAGCTTTGCTTATTTGGTTCAGACTGAGGTCCAGGTTATTTGAAAGACTGGACTCTCCCATTTGGACCTGCTCATGCTTTGAGCTCTGCTGGGACACCTTCACAGGGATATCTGGCGGGAACTGGGAGACGTAGTCTTCTTGGTGGCTTCTCCCAGGATCTCTGGAATTTCCTTCCCAGAGAGGTTAGACAGTCACCTTGCTTGCTATCTTGCCACAGGCAGGTCTTTCAGACTTATTATTATTATTATTATTATTATTAGGAAGCAGTCTTGTACAGGTTGAGTCTCTCTTATCCAGAATTCCAAAATCTGAAACACTCCAAAATCCCAAATAGTGGCACCTTAGCTTTCTGATGGTTCAATGGACACAAAATTTGTTTGTTGCACAGCATTCTTTAAAATGTTATGTATAAAACTACCTTCAGGTTACAGGTATAAGATGTATATGAAACATAAATGAATTTTATGTTTAGACTTGGGTTCCGTCTTGAAGATATCTCAAATATTTCAGAATCTTCCCCCAAACTCTGAAATCCAAAACACTTCTGCTCCATTTCATTTTGGATAAGGGAAACTCAGCCTGTATAATGTGCTGCATTTTTATTTGTTGCTGTTTTTAATCACTTATGTTTTTAACTGGTTTTAATTTTTTTTGATAGTTTAATTGCTTTTTAATTGTCGTATGGTTTGTTTTAATTGTTCTGAGCTACCTTGAGTCCCATACTGGATAAAAGAGAGGATCCCCTCTGGGCAAGGGTTTCTGCTGGTTTCTCTTTTTATTTTTGTTTCCTTGATTGCATTTATGAGACTTTTAAAAAATTGTATTTGTTTGCTCTTGCCTGACATTGGGCTCATTCCCACTATTTGCAGATCGGTTTATATATGCCTCATTCACACTTGATTCGATCTCAGATCCAAACATATTCAATCTGAATCGACTGTGGTGAATTGGCACAATTCAAAAAGAACTGGTTCTTTTGGGAATGGATCAAATAAAGGTTCTTTTGAACAGAACCAGATTACAAGTGTGTTGAATGTGTGTCCGATCACATTCGGGTCTCCCAGGAGGGAGGAGTAATGGGCAGAAGATGGATGGAGGGGTAGAACAT